TTTTGGACAAGATGCAGTACCCAAATCCCTTGGGTTTTCCGGCACAACTTTAGGGAGATTGAAAACTTAATAAGGGTGCTAAATGTTTCTTTTAAATGGGTGAGAAGAACAGCAAATGGAATGGCAAACATGCTAGCCAAACAAGGGGCTTTAAGACAGGCAGTATTTTATTTTGTGCAAATTTGTGAACTCTTGTTGTTTGGGGTGGATCGTACATCCACCTTATTTCTTGTAATTTTTAAGTTTGCATTAATAAAATTACTTTATGATGATGAAAGAAATCAAAGTGGGATTTTTCTTACTATTCTACATTTTTTGGTGACGAGAAATCTAGCTTCCTAGGTTTGTTATTTATTTTTTCTATTTTTTCCATGAGAAGATAATCTCTACCCTATTTTGCCTCTCACTTCTCTTCCTAGATTTCTTTTCTTTTTGTTGTTGTTGTTGTTTTTTTTTTTTTTTTGCATAGACTAAAGCAACCGTGTTGTTTCTTTTCTTCTAAACTGTTGGATAACCAGAAATCTAGTATCAATTATATGGATAATTCATTAGATGATCCTATTAGTGAAAAATTTTGATGATGGAAATTTTTGATAATCTAAAACATTATGGGTCATCTCCAAGGTTTAGCACTTGGTCCATACTTATTTGCACTAGTCAAAGTTGAATTGACTAAACATATTCAAGAGGAGGTCCTGTGGTGTTTGACGTTTGCTGATGACATAATATTAATTATTGAAACTAATGAGGAGTTAAATACAAAATTTGGTTTATGAACAAATACATTGGAAAGAAGAGGCTTTAAAATAAGTAGGGCTTTGAACATATGCAATGTAAAGTTATCAATAATAGGAGTACAAACCAGGATAAAATTATGATTAGTCCAATTGGAGATCAAGAGAGATCTCAATGTGACCTCTTCCACTACCTGGTTCAATAATTCTTAACAAAGGAGAGATTGGAGAGGATGTTGCTCATATAACCAGAGCAGGATGGGCAAAATGGAAGGGTGCATCCGGAGCCTTATGCTATGGGAAAATAGCATTTTGGCTAAAAGAATATTCTATAAAATGGTTGTAAGGCTAGCTATGTTGGACAGTTAAAGAAATGGCATCTTCAAAAAATGAGTGTGGAAAATTATCAAAGAAATAGCACCTCTTCCACTACCTGGTTCAATAATTCTTAACAAAGGAGAGATTGGAGAGGATGTTGCTCATATAACTAGAGCAGGATGGGCAAAATGGAAGGGTGCATCCGGAGCCTTATGCTATGGGAAAATAGCATTTTGGCTAAAAGAATATTCTATAAAATGGTTGTAAGGCTAGCTATGTTGGACAGTTAAAGAAATGGCATCTCCAAAAAATGGGTGTGGAAAATTATCAAAGAAATGAGTGGCAAAAATTAGTATGCTTGGATGAATGGTAAAACTAAAAAAGATTGGGTTAGAAATGAAGTCATATGAAGGAACTAGGAGTAGCTCCAATAGGCAATGCAATGAGAGAAAGTAGACTGAAGTGTTCTGTTCGCATGCATAGAAGATGTCAACAACACCCATAAGAAGAAATGATCTGTTGCAACTTGAAGGGTCTAGAAGGGCTAGGGGTAGATCAAAAAGGACATGGGTCTAAGTGGTAAGAAATGGTTTAATTGCCTATAATTTGATGATGGATATGGAACTAAACAGAATGGAATGGTAAAACAGTATTTTTTTTTTGATAATGGTAAAACAGTATTCATCTAGCCAACCCTATATAGTTGGGACGAGGCTTGGATGGTGATGGGTTTAGTTATTATTTTGTTGGATTATAACAACCTAGAACCTAGAACTTATTGCTGATAGACTTCTATTTTATGAAAGGTTGTTCCTTCTATTATTGTATTTTGATTTGTCATATGTTCATGTTATCATTATAGTCTCTTTCTTTCTTTTTGTTACTTTTTGAGGCTTATGCCTCACTTTCTTGTGCCATTAAGCCCCAACTATGCCCTTATCCATTGAAACCTTGGCCCTTAATGCTATTACAAAGGCAACTAGGCTATCTTAGTGGAAGGGAACTATGGCTTAAGAGTTGGATTCTTCATTAAAAACCAGAATGGGAGCTAGTTTGTCTATTCAAATACAAGGAGCCAATCAGTCGTAAGTGACTTCTCATACATGGTGGAATATGGCTGATGGCTCAGTTGAAAGGCATAAAGTTTGATTTGTAGTTAAGGGTATACTAAGACCTATCTCGTTGATTATAGGAGAAGCTCACTCTAGTTGCCGGATTGAACTTTATATGGGCTATTTTTTGTCCAGATGTCAATTACTCTTGGCCGTTGCAGTAATTCAGAGTGGTTTCCTCAATGGTGATTTGCAAGAACAGGTGTATACGGAGTTGGCACTTGGGGCATGTATTCCAAATAGTCAAGGGATGTTCATGGTAGTGACACATTTTGAGAGAGTCTCCAGTCTGAAACTCAAAAAAGCCATTGCTACCTTCCGGTGTATTCCAAAATGGTAGTGACACATTTTGAGGGGGTAGAATCACTTTAATCAAGTCCACTTTGACCAACCTTCCGGTGTATTTTTTGTCTACCTTCAAGTTACCTATCAAAGTTGCCACTAAGATAGAGAGATCATGAGAGATTTTTTGTGGGAACCGGGAAACTCAAAAAAGGACCATCTAGTGAAGTGGGAAGTAGTTTCTAGGAAAAAGGACGTTGGGGGTTTAGACATTGGCAATATTAGATTAAGAAATGTAGCACTGTTAGGGAAGTGGTTGTGGAGGCTTCCCCTAGAGTAGGACAGTTTGTGGCACTTGGTGGTGGAAGGTATTCACTAGATGGAAGCTAATGGATGGGATGCTGGTGTCGACCCTAGGGCTACTCACTTCTCCCCTTGGAAAGCCATTGCTAGAGTCTTGCCTTCCTTTTGCCGTTTCATCGGACTTGATTTGTGCTCAGGTAATAAAATTCTGTTTTGGGAGGATCTTTAGTTTGGGAACACCCCCCTTAAGGACAAATTCCTGGTTATGTATTCTCTTTCCCTAAATAAATTCAAAGTCATTTCCTCTTTCTGTGTATCTGAGGGGAACTGGGACTTGGCTTTGAGAAGAGGATTAAGGGATTCAGAATTGGTTTGTGCAGATGAATTGTTCTCTTTGTTGAATTCAGCTTTCCTAGATCATTCTTGCCCAGACAGTAGAATTTGGACAGAATCCTCTTCAGGGGTTTTCTTTTGCTCCTCTGTTTTCAATGCCCTAATTCAGCCTTCTATTGTGTGTATCTCCTTTCCTGTTAGAGAAGTGTGGTGTGCTCTTGTTCCACAAAAGGTTAGGGCTTTTTGCTGGGAAGTGGCTCTCCAAAAGGTCAACACTATGGATGTACTTCAAAGAAAAAGGCCAGATTGGTGCTTTTCCCCACATGTCTGTTGCCTTTGCTTAAGAAATGGTGAGATGGTGACTCATCTTTTGATTTCTTTTCCTGCTTCTTATTTGTGGGATTGGTTCTCTTCTCTTTTTGGTTGCAGATGGAATCTCCCTTCGTGTGTGCTGAATGTCTTTGACTCTAGCTTCTTCTAGCAACCAAAGAAAAGAGGCAGGGTAATGTGGAGAATAACAAGAGCAGCTGTCCTTTGGTTGATTTAGGAAGAGAGAAACAATAGAATTTTCCAAGGACAAGAAAAATCCAAACAAGCACTATTTGAGGTCATTACCATCAAGATTCTTCATTGGTTGAAATTGCAGCAACTTTTCAAGGACTTCTCCGCATCTGACTTAGTTAGAAGTTGGAGTTCTATAGCTGTATCCTCTCCCTTTTCCGTGTAATTCAAGAGGTTTGGTCACCACCATCTCAGTTTAGGGTGAAATTAAACTTTGATGGAAGCTCCTAGGTAATCCAGGCCCGTTGGGAGTTGGGGGTGTCTTCAGAAATGAGGAAGGAAGAGTTTTGGCCCTTTACTCAGGCCCAATTGGGGTGGGAGATTCTTTGAGGGAAGAAGTCATGGCCTTACTCTAAGGACTGAAATTGGTGAAACAATGGGGTATGCAGCACTTAGAAGTGGAAGGAGACTCCAAGCTGGTAATAGGGTGGATGCAATCTAGAAACTTGGGAGTATGGTCACTTGGAAAGCCTCTAAGAGAGATTATTAGCTTAGCAAGGGAACTTGTGGTGCAATTTAATTGGGTAAGAAGGTCAGCAAATGGAAGGGCTGACACATTAGCTAAGCAAGGAATTATTAAGGAGACTTTGTTTTGGGCTTGTTGGTAAGAATTTCGTTCTGATTTTCCGCCCATCCTTTGGGTGGTGATAACTGTACTCTCCTTTTAATACTGTTGATGAAAGTTACCATTTCTTATAAAAAAATGTTTATGGTCTCAACTATCAAGTAGTCACTCACCATGGCTTGGTAGATTCAAAGTGGCTCTCCAAAGTATTGGATTTGTACAATTGCATGCTGATTGCACTTTCGTTATATGATTATGCTTTTTTTTTTATGGTAATAGCAGAATTTTATTAAATTAAAAAGATCACCCCAAGCTGTCTAAAAAGTGGAACTTCAAATTTGAAAATTTGAACTTGTATTGCATTCATTGTATTGGTGTGTATCAGTCCCAATGTACACTGCGATACCTTACGATACAGTACCTGCTTGCTACAAAAAAGTCTAAAAAGTGCCCATTTGTAGTGCCCCACTTACTCATCCTTATGGAAGCTGAAACAATATCCCCGTATTAGGTGCATCTTATGGATATTTTGAACCTTGACTAGGATAACTCTCCACTCCATATCCTTAGCAATGTCCATATTCTATCAACTGTTGGAGTCCCTAGCTATGTTGGTTTACACAGTAGATGCTGAATATCAAGAGTTGGTGTGATGTAACCTGTACTTTTGGTACTAAATAAATTTTTTCCTATGGCGTTCTGTTGTTGTTCCTATAGGATTTCTTTCTTGGATAATCAATATGCATTTTGCATGTTTAATGTGCTAATGTTTTTCCTGATTGTTTCATTCAGTATCTTGCTGTAGCTGCACATCCTCCTGAAGCTTCTTATCACAAGATAGGAGTCCCATTAACTGGTAGAGGTGTCATTCAAATATGGTGCATTTTAAACCAAAACGTGAAAGATGAAGTGGTGACTCCATTAAACAAGGCAAAAGGAAGACCAGGAAAACCAAATGTCCTGAAGGATGAATCATCTGCATTGAAGAAGCCAAAAGGGAGACCTAGGAAAACAAATGTCACAAAGGATGAGTCACCTGCATTGAATAAGTCAAGAGGAAGGCATAGAAAGAAGGAAGCTGAAAAGGAACTAGATGATTTAGAGAGCAACAGCCAATTTATTCCAGCCCTTGCTGTTGAATTCCCAGAAGATTCACATGAGTTTCATGCTGTGAATAAGGTGAACAAGAGTAATGATGAACAACCTCTGCTGGACAACTGTATTGCAGATTCTGGGTTGGAGGCTGAAACAAGAGAACACTTCAGTTCTGGAATTTCAGCTTGTAAATCAGGGTTCAGTACTTCACAGAGGAGAAGAAAGAAAGATAAGGCAAGGGCTGGAGAAAATTTGGTTGCAGTTGTGGAAGAAAATAATAGCTCTGAGCAGGGTCTGTTAGCATCAGATAAGAACACAACTAATAATGGTCTTGGCAATAATTCTCATCTTCCAAAGGATGTTACTCTGCCTAGGGTTGTTTTGTGTCTGGCCCACAATGGAAAAGTTGCATGGGATGTGAAGTGGCGTCCTTTAAATGATTCAGGATACAAGAATTCAATGGGTTATCTTGCTGTACTGCTGGGAAATGGCTCTTTGGAAGTGTATGCTTTTCTCGTACTCTTCTCTGTCGATTTTATGCCATTTTTTTTAACATAGTCTAGTAGTTTTCTCCTTTTTCTTCATTTAGAGAAAGTTTTGTTATGTATGCACATTAATGGCAATAATTTGGTGTGTTATGGGAGCTATGACTGCCATCCTCAATGAAATTTATACAATCACATTCAATGCTTAAATGTTGGTGTAGGTGGAAATATCAGTCATTCAAATATAGGAAAGATGTAAGTGATGTTGGAAATGTCATATTGGAAATACTGTAAAAATTATGGACATGGTGGATACATTATGAAATATGTGGAAATATGCATTGATATTTTATGATATGACATGGACGCATAGTACACTCTTTGGTTGAAACATTGTGAAGTATGTGGAAATATATGAGGCCATGAGGCCATTACCCAATATTGGTCCAACTGTCGCAGCTATTAGGGGTAGACTGGGTATGGTCCTAACCTTTGGCAGTTTTTTTGCACCAAGTGGCTGCCATCGGACTCAAACCCTTGTTTTCATGCTTGCCAGCCTGAGTTTTACCATTATGTGGAAATATAAAATGTTATTTTATAAAATGATAAAAGAAGCATAGGCACACTTAAATTTTTATTTGTTCCAAACCATAAAAAATGCCAAGAAACTAAGGCTAATAGACAAAATAATACACTGTGAAGTTGTGTTATAGTTGTAGACTTGTATGAATTCTCATTTATCAACCAAAAAATCTAAGATTTAATTTCATTCTAAAGAGAATTTTGAGTCAAAGAGGTCATTGTATTTGTTAGGTGGGTGATAATACTGCAACTATCTATGATATAAGTTGCCGATTCATCATGCTATAATACCTTCTTGTGTACTCCGCATAGCACCAGTAGTTTTCATTGGAGTATATGTTAATTTCAGTAATATTTTATGCTGATATCCATGGAAATGGAAATTTGTGCTGGATATATTAGGAAATATGTTGACATTTTAAAATATATTTACAATTCACTTTGTATGGTACTTGGAAATTAAAAACATGTTGACAAACTAACAAGCATGTTAGCTTGATTTTTGTCCCAACTTTAGCATTGTTATTATTTTAGCTTGATCTTTGTCCCAACTTTAGCATTAAAATATATTTACAATTCACTTTGTATGGTAATTGAAAATTAAAAACATGTTGACAAACTAACAAGCATGTTAGCTTGATCTTTGTCCCAACTTTAGCATTATTATTTTAGATTTTCTTTGATTTAGCTCTGAAATGTAGAGAGCCTTGGGCATATAATGATATCTACTTTTGAGGGGTATTTTGTCATTGTATCCAGACATATTAATAACTATTGACTGGGTAGTGGGTATGACCATATGAGAAGATCTTGTCACATGTAAGAAGGTTTACGAAGGTTTGCTTTAAAACCACATGGTGGGTTGGGTTTCAGAAAAATGGGTCCATGAATAAAGCTATTCTCCACTAGTAGTAATTAGATCTAGTGAATAATGAGCTTTGGTGAAAAAGGTGGTTGTTAAATCTGGTGAAATGCCTTTTGGTTGGTCACCTAGGGTCATGGATTTTTATGGAATTAAAAAGTTGTGGATGGGATGAATATCAGATTTTGTTCTTGGTGGAGTGGCATCATCAAGTTTATTGGGCATGTTTCATGATTTTATCCAGTTCTCACTCGTGGAAAGGCCTATTCATTATTTGTACCTTGTACATGGTACTTGTGTTCTAATTTTTAAGGTCCTATATTTTGGAGGCTAGTCTTGAGTAGAGAGGGCTACAAATTCTCATATCTTTCTTTAAACGCTTGAAGATACTTTCCACCTTGCTGTGCCCAAAGCTTGAAGATCCTTTTGTTTAGCTTTACCTAGAGGGTTGAATGAACTCACTGAGGCTGGTTTCATTTCAGGTAGGAATGTCCTTCGTAGGATAAAGTTTATAGGTTGCTGGAATATTTTGTCAAGGTACAAACAATTGATCAGTTAAACCATACAAGTCTTCAAATTCCAAATAGATGTTTGATGTAGAAAGCTGTTGAAGAATCTGTGGACTACTTGTTCCTATTGTGCCCCTCCACCTCACCTCTTTGGCTGTTTTTGGTTTCTTATTCAACTCCTATTGGACTCCCCCTTCTGCATTTTGGTGTCATTGATTCCATTGATCCTTGCTTCATTCAGTTCTTACAGTGCTTCCACTTAAATTATGGTAAGGTAAGGTATAAATTCTATTATATCCCAATTTGGTACCAGGTTGGTCGCAATTTCAAACCAAAAATATATCACTCATAGGATCTACAAGAGGGACCGCAGATCTAGAAAATATCAAAGGGAGCACCCTGTTCAATAATGATCTAGTTGCCTTGACAAATAATATTGTAGAATACTTGCACTAAGGACATACAGGATGACAAGATACATGAATTATGATATGATTTAACATATCTATAATATAGGTTGCTTGCTCAGAAGGTATTTTTTATTATAATAAATTATTGCATAAAAGAATGATGTGCATGCTTGATCTGGTCTGATATTTTACATTGTATAAAGTCTGGCTTATACATTCTTGTTTCCATATTGGTGGACATTTACATTCTCATGATCTAAAATTTTCAAATGCAGGTGGGATGTTCCTCTACCAAACACAATCAAAGTCTTGTATTCTTCTTGTCGCAAGGATGGTACTGATCCTCGTTTTGTTAAATTGGAGCCTGTGTTCAGATGCTCAAAGTTGAAGTGTGGGGACAGACAAAGGTAGTCTTTATGATTGGTTTTGTGGCAGGGAAGCTCAAATAATACAGGAAGTCTTTATTATTATTCCGACAATGGAGGGCCTGACAAAAAGGGGAGAATGAAAATGGTAAAGTGAGTATTATTTGGGCTTCCCTGCCAAAGCTTTGGTGACTAATGTACTATTTCTTTTCCTAATTCTTAGTGATTAACTAGTTATTGTTTTGTTAAGCAGCATTCCTCTTACAATGGAGTGGTCACCTTCAGCTCCGCATGATCTAATACTAGCAGGGTGCCACGATGGAACGGTAATGTTTTCTTTAGTTTCATTGTGTTTATATCTGTTTATTTCTTCCTGTTTAATAGAATATAATATTCGTAACACTTTTGATAAAAATTGCCAATAATTGCAATTTATTGATTGCATTTTTTCCAAAACAAGTTGCCTCATAATGTGGTACAAGATTTTGACATTTTTTTCCTACTTCATGGTCTCTTCAGTCAACAGTTCCTTTTTTTTTTGGCAGAACATCTACACTATTTTAATTAATCTTCAGTCCCTACCCCCAGCAAGCATTCTGTTGTATAGATTATCTTAATTGATGCACTTTCTGCTTGTCTTTGCTCTTTACTCCATTGGGAGATAGAGTGTAACGTTTAACTAGAATGAGAACTTGATACATCTGTTCGTTCAGGTTGCTTTATGGAAGTTTTTTCCAGGAGGTTCTTCTCAAGGTATTGGCACCAAATTTGCATCCTCTATCAATTATATTGTTTCTCTTGATAAAGACTAATATTTTGGAGTCCATGTGATAATAGAGTAATTTCGTTGCCTGCTTCTTTGCAGATACACGACCTTTGCTTTGCTTTAGTGCAGATACTGTTCCCATTCGAGCACTTTCTTGGGCTCCAGATGAAAGTTGAGTAATCATATTTGATTTTGAATTATTCATTGTCATTCGACTCATTCCATATCATATCCTGTTTAATGATCTCCATACACAACTTTTACTGGTTGTATTGATGTGATGATGAATTACAGTTTAAATTTACTTATAAGAAATTGCTTCCTACTTTAATATATATTATAAAAACTTCTTACTTTATGCTGCTCCAGTTGTGAACTTGTGATGTGTTTCCATTATGCTTTAATGCTCTAATGATCATTTATCAGAAATTTACTTTATGCTTTATATTAAAAAAGCATCATTTTTTATGCTTTTCACATCACTATCTTCCAAATGTTTTTTTTATAAACTGTTTCTCACGTTAATCTCAATTTTAAACTAGATTCAGTTGAGGATATTATGCCTGGTTCTTGTTGAAGAAACTTATTAGAACTTCATTGTTTTTTAATTTAGTGCTCGGATTGGAGCACTGCAGATATATTTATACTTTGCCTTTTACTTTAGAAGTTATGGATATTCGTATTTTATTCTTTTTATTGTGTTTTATAATAAGCAAAGAAATAGCTTACATAAAAAATAGTTCTGAGGTAACCTTCACGTTGGTTCATGAAAGTGGTTAGTGGGAAAAAATTTGGTTGGTGACATAAGGTGCAGATGATGGTACCTTCAGGTGGAGGAACCTAGATAATGGATCAAGTGATATGTTTTAATGGGGAGAGCTAAGGATCTTAAATTGCTGCATGATGGTTCATGTTCTCTCTCTCTCTCTCTCTCTCTCTTTCTCTCTCTTCTTTTTGCATATAACATATATTATATATCTATGTAATATAATTTAAATTTGAATTTTGAATTTCGAAATTTGAAATTTGAAGAATTTGGTCAGTTCATACAATCTGAATTGATAGGATTTTAGAACTTAGTGGGTTTGAGCCATTGAGGTCAGACAGATCAGTCATTGCCTCTGGGTGATGGGTTGACCAGTCCTTACTATCCAAGTCAATAAGGAGTTGCAAACATTGGTGGAAGGTGATTTTGATGTGGTGATAAAAGAAGTGAAGGTTGAATATGTCAATATCACTCTGAGGCTACCACCATTAGAGAAGCTAGATCCTGGGATCTTGTTCAAATGATCCAAATATCATCAACTCAATTGCTGATTCCCTAGCTGAGAAGTAATCAAGTAACATGAATAGAACTCTATTGGGTGCTGGCCATAGCCTTGGATTTTCATACTTGGGAATGTTGATCTTCATGTGCAATTGTTCTTTTGTACTTGAAATTATTTTATAGTTTTCTTTGATCTTGTTATTGATTATATAAAAGAATGTCATGGAGCTAGTGAGTGTCTTAGTTGAACCAAGAGCACTACTAGGGGTGATCATAGACCAGCTGGGCTTTGGACCTAAGTCACTAATTAATTTTATTATAATCTAATAATTTATATTATAGATGATATAATATATGTGTAGAATATATGATATAATTTATGCAGTATAAAATATTATATAGAATATATATTATATGTGCTATTTTATAATATTTATACCATCATCATCATTCATGCCTTATCCCAACCTGCAATATTTTATAATATTTTTATACATATTGTAGGTACATAGTGGTCGCTAAGACCATCAAAGTACAGAGGGTGTCAAACCAACACTACATGGATGCATGCGATGAATCCATAATCCATCGCACGTTTGTGATGAGTTCAACGCAGATCTGCGATTGCAACGAACTCATACTCGAAACGGGTCGCGATGAACATCGGCTAGCGTGAATCCGCGATAAACCTTAGACATACATAAACTTGCGATAAAGCTTAGACACACACGAATCTGCAATGATCTATAAAGACGCACGCAGATTCGCGATGAACTTTAGACGCGTGCAGAGTTGCGATGAACCTAAGACCATTATAGAACTATGGAATCACAGTAGATCGGGAATAAATACTGGTTACACGTGCATCTTTAAATTACGCATGCGGGTTTAATGAAAGTACGCCCGTCGAACGATGACATCACCCGCGCCACATCAATATAATAGGGTCACATACAAAGAGAATCCGAAAGGGATAGGATCCTCTAATAGTGCTCCCTTAATAGTCAAACAAAAGGAAATATCTCATTTCCTAACAGGAAAGATCCTCTTTCCTAACATGAAAGATCCTCTTTCCTAACAGGAAAGAACTCCTTTCTTGATAGCCTTAACTTTCTCTCTATAAAAGGAGGAGAGCAATTCTTTGCCAGGAGACAACAGTAATACAACTTTGACCTAGGGTTTCTGGGGGAGAGGCAACTCCCTTCTCTCCTTTCTTCCCCACATCCTCTCTCTTTCCCGCCTCCATCTCCGGACCTTTGGAGACTGACCAACCTCCACCTTACCATGGTGCCTACACATATATAATATAAAATGATATAAAACATGCATATATACGAAAATATTTAATATATAAATAATATATTGCAGGTCGGGCCAGGCTTGAAGTGATGGGCCCAAGTCCTGAACTAAAACTTATGGGTCCGATTTGAGCCTGGGCCGGGCCGAGCTGGAAATATCACCCATAAGCACTAGGTTGCATATTTTGATGGCATATTCATAACCTCATCTGGTGATTTGTCTTGAACATAAGGCATAAAAATATATTGTTTTGGTTTTGGAGCTCATCATGAAGTTTTGATGTAAATACTCCAACCTCCCCCACCCCCAAAACAGTGTAAACATTAGGAAAAGGAAAATGCTTGCATGTGCTTGTATATTCAGCTGACATCCTGTAGTGTGTGATCATAGAAACATTCTCGGAGTACTAATATAGCTTTCCTTGGCAAGTGGTTTTCGAGATTTGGTTCAACAAGGACAGCCTATGGAAGCAGGTGATGAGGGCTGATTATGGTGGTAGGAATTCTAACTGGGATTCAGGGAGATGAGCACCCCTTATGGTTGTAGCCTGTGGAGAGGTATTTAGAAAGCTATAAACCATATGTTAGAGGTATTAGATACAACATTAGGAAGGGATCAAGGGTGAGCTTTTGGTCAGATGTTTGGTGTGGAGACACCAAGACAGGCCTTTAACAGACTTGCTTCTCCAACTGTACTGTATTGATAGCAACAAGGAAGCAAAGGTGGTGACTGTAATGGATCAGTGGTTGGAAACCTTAGCTTTGAAGTGATTTAAATGATTAGGAGAGGTGGCACATGTATTGGATTTGCTTCAGATGTTGCAGGGTGTTGTCCCAAAGCCAGAGAAAGAGGAGGAGATAAGGATGTGGAGATAGGAGGTGCCCAGGGAGTTCAAAGTAAAGTCCTGTAAGAATTTGGTTGGCATGGGCACTAGAAATTTTCCTGGTGTTGACTGCTGCTTTAAACAGGTGTTTAACAAAGAACAATATGCTTAGAAAGGAAATGGTGGTGGATTGTAGCAGGTGTGTTTTGTGCAATGAACAGATTGAATCAGTGAATAAAATATTCTTGCGTTGTAGATTTTTCCATGATGGCCTGGGCCTGGATTTGGGGTGGCTCATGCTGCCTAGAGTCTGTTGAGGCCTTCTTTTCGAGCTTGCACTTGAGGGGTTTAAGCAGAAGAGGGGCGGTTGTGTGGAGGGTTTCTCTCTTTGCTGTCTTCTGGGCAATTTGAACTGAGAGAAATGCTAGGTTCTTTGAGAACACATCTCAACTGGAACAGATGGTGTTCAGGAAAATACAAGGCATGAGAATTCATGCCTAGGAGTACAAAAACATTTAGGGGAATACCATATTCTTCCTCTTTTACGATAGAGATGTTTTTGTGTGTAAATGGGATGAAAAGTGTACAGTATTTTTGTATATCCACAGTGTGCAAACACGTGGCACTCATGGGGCTGCTGTAATTATGCTCTTTTCAGCTGATTAATACTAATCTATATTTGTTGCTGGTAAAAAAAAACACTAATCTATATTTGTCCAAAAGAAGAAAGAAAAGATCTTTCTCCATGCTCATTTTATTTTTCTGGGCATGATTTTTTATTTTCTTGATCAATAAAGCTCTTCATATGTTCCTATATTTTTTTAAATGAGATGTCTGAAATGCAATTATATGGTATTCAGTGATGCGGAGGGTGCAAATGTAATAGTAACTGCTGGACACGGAAGCCTAAGATTTTGGGACTTGCGGTAAGGGTGTATGCTTTTCCTCTGTTATGATTCCAAATTAAAGAAAAGATAATCTCTGAAATTGGTGGCATTAGGGTAGGTAAGGAGACTGTAAGATAAGAAATAATAACTAAAGAATGTATGATTGATGGTTTACTGGAAAAAGAACGTATGATTGATCATCTTTGTCATGCTTTATGTTGGTTAAGGCTTTTCTTTGAAGATCTTTGTTTCCTGCAATTGGGTTGTCAATCAACTGTTTAATGGACTGATTCTTATCCAAATAAGCTGGTTATGGATCATACATGGTTGATCTGTTTATAGTCATATGAGATTTGTATCAATCTGGATTAATCTGATTATGGTCTGTAAATGGGTCTTGTCTGCATGGTAGAACCGAACCAAACCAAACTAATTACAGTGGTTATGGTTCTGTGTTTTGTGTTCTACTTATAATTGGCTCAGGACCAGTTTTTGCTATTCTGAACTGATTAAGAGCTGAACCAGTTATGTAATTAATAATACATAAATGTTTCTTGGTTTCCTGTAAATTTTGTTATATTTTGTCTAAAAGGGAAAACTTCATATGATATGTAAGTAACAACACTTGTTTTATCAAGATATAAACAACTAACTATTTATTTTTAGTTTTATTAAGGTTATATTATCTAGGGTCTTGTGCTAAAACATCCCTTGTAGTTAATGGATTACTAAACCTACCCTATAGTTTGCATTTTACTAAAACACCCCCTATAGTTTGCAACCAATTTACTTTATTGACCTTCCATTAGATGAAAGTGGAAAATGACAGTTTTGGCCTTAAGTCTTGATATCCCTTCAAAGGAATTTAATCTACAGAAAACAAAAATGGAAATGTCATTCTTGTCCCCAGTAAAAAAAACACTGGCAACAACTCTATTTGGTAAAATTTGCTCTCTATTTGAAGAAGGAAGATGAACCATTCAACCATTGCTGACGAAGAACCTTAGATGCTATTGTTCTCTCTTCCTCATTCTACTGAAGCCAAACAGTTTTTGATAGATCTGAAAATCAAACCTTATGTCTCTCCACAAGTTTGATATTAAGTTTTGAGGGTACTTTTGGAATAAAAAAAGCTTGGGCTCATGCCTTTAAAAATTTTACTCTGTTTATATGGTCACATTACCATTTTTAGACAGAAAAACAAAGGATTCTTAACAGAAGGTTGATTAAGTAAATTGTTTGTAAAGTATAGGGGGTGTTTTAGTAAATGACCCTATTATCTAAAATGAAGTTCCATGTAGTCATATTCTAGCTAATTAGAGATGTCAATTAAAACTGACTTTTATTGGGGCAGAGTCAGACACCCAACTATCCCAATTGATAATTGGTTTGGTTTTGGTTTTGAGCAATATTTTAAAATGCGGAGGCGTTCCACTACCTAGAGGCGTGAGGTATAGTTCAGAATGTAAGAGGCATAAGCCTCTTTAAGAGGGGGATGAGGAGGAAGAAGTAGATGGGAGGAGGAAGAAGAGGAAGGAGGATCTCGTTTTTCTTTATTTTTAATAAAAGTCTTTTATATTAAGGAGGAGGATCTCGGCTAGTGTTATGCATCTTCATGCTTGCAGAGGAAGGAAATTGACCAGAACAACCAGGTAGAGTCTTCCCATTCCTCTTCACAGACTGAACCCATTGACAGATGAAAGGAGGGAATTTCTATCTCTTGACAGACCTGGTTGTTCTGGTCAGATTTCCTCCTTCCTCCCTCTTGACCAGAACAACCAGGTAGAGTCTTCTTCGTTCTATCTCTGTTTCTCTCTCTATTTTCTCATTTCTTTGTATCTTCCATTTCTCTCTCTTTTGTTTCTTCTTTTTCTCCCTTTTGTTCTCTCTTCCCCATTTGAGTTCTTATTTTCCTTCTGTCTTGCGGCCACTTCTTGGTTGAGAAAGGAGTGCAAAAATGTTGAATCTGTTTGAGTATGTCATGAAGCTCAATAAAACAATATGTAAATGTGTGTGTTCATTTTGTGTTGGATCTTCTCAATATTTTTTTTTCATCTCTATTTAACTTTGGAAGTTTAGGATTCATTTTTCAGGTATATCTTTGAAAAAAGGAAAAAACAATTGAGTACAAGGAATTGAACTAGCAGTTTGATTCAAGTTCTACAGGGTGTTATGATTTATATAGTTCTTTGTGATGGTTTTTTAAGCCTTAAATGTGCAATCAGTGTTTTAAAAGTGCAAGGCGCAAAAAAAGCGCAAGGAGCATTTTGCACCTGAGGCGCAAGTCACAAGGCGAGCCGTGTGCCTTTTTGATGCAAGATACAAAAATTCAAACAAATGCCAAAAAATACAAAAAAAAAACTTAAATTCAAAAAATTATATTTAAAAAACCTATTATCTCAAATAAAAACACATAAATATAACATGGAAAACATATTTAAAATGAAAATTTAAAAATAAAATCAAATATGACATATAAAACATACAAAACGCTCACTCACTTTATTCTTTTCCCAATTGCATTGCTTCAAATAGTTAGTGTGGTGTTAAACATTATGCATTCTTGATTCTACGAGCCGCCTTTGTACCAAGCCCCTTGAGGCAATCCAAAAAAAAGTCCATATTAGGGTCTTAAATTCTTAATACCTACAAAAAAGTAATTTTATAATTTTAATTGTCTTTCAAAAATAATTTATTAGGATGAATGAATGAGCAACCTTAGGAAATAGGGGGTTCTACTCTGCTTCGGCTTGCTCCAAGACCCCCATATTTTCTAATGTTGCTCATTCATTCATCCTAATAAAATATATTTTTAAAAGACAATTAAAAATATAAAATTATTTTTGTAGGGTTTAAGAACTTATGACCCTAATATGGACTTTGTTAAGGCTTGCTCCAAGGGGCTTGGTTGGGGGTTCGGGGATGCCCCTAGCCCATTTTCTGGCATAAAATAACAGAGAAATGCACAAATTTCAAAAGGCGCACGCCTGGGCTGAAGCACAATGTACACCAGACACACCTTTTGAAAGTGCTGTGCCTGGGGCCTAGGCAAGGAGCATACCTTAAAATGCGCCTCACTTGTGTGCTAGCCTTTTAAATCACTATGTGCAATTATCCTTGTTCAAACGATTCCTTGAAGGTTTTTTAACTAATTCCGTGTGCAATTATGTTTCTTCAAAAAGATGTTAATTTCACAAAATGTCTTGGTGAAATTAACAAAATATCTCTGAAATTGCTCCATTTCTACATGGTGAAATGTCCATTTATATCAAAATTGTAAGTTGTACTTATGAGATTGCGTCGATATTCTAAATTTACATCTTTTTTTATTGACTAGTTGGTGACATCAACCTGAGAGTCTTTTAGTCACTTGATAATGACCAGTCTACCCCTTACAACAACCCTGACAGCCAGGACAAAGATAATGACCCCTTTTTGATAATATGGAATTTCAATTAGTGTCACTCTGTGACTGTGAAAGGTTGTACTTATAGTCACTTGTTATCCTTTGGGTTTTATCCAGTCACTTCTCTCATTTTCTTAATGGTTGGCAAAACTACTTCTAGGTTATGCAAAGCACCTTAGAGTCTACTCTTTCTTCTCTCTATGCCTTTACCTTATTTACTTATACAAATTGTTTGTTTACTTTTTCATTCAATTCACACCATTTCCTTGGTGTTGATTCTTGCATTACTGTTGGAGTTTTCTTACGGAGACTTTGCTTTGACAGTTATTCTTCTATGTTTTGAGTAGTTCATTGTGCGAGGATGGTTGAACTGAGTTGTATACAATTGTAGAATGACTTTATGATGTTTACCAAATAAATAAAGTTATTTTCCCTTGCAGTGATCCATACCGTCCTTTATGGGAAATTAATTCAGTGAGAAGAGTGGTTTATAGTCTGGATTGGCTGCTAGATCCTAGGTATGGTCTTATTCTTTTTACCAGTGTAATTACGTAAAAGGTTAGTCTACTGTTTCGGGTGTATCGATACATTGAACCTTGGGTTTGTCCTTTTCTATTCCTGTTTCCTGATTTATTGTTTACTTATTTCTCTAGGTGTATCATTTTGGCCTATGACGATGGTACACTAAGGATCCTCAGCTTGTCAAAAGCTGCATATGATGTCCCTGTGACAGGGAAACCTTTTTCTGGGACACAACAACAAGGGTTGCACAGCTATTACTGTTCATCATTTACAATCTGGAGTGTTCATGTATCACGACTTACAGGTGCCTCATGCTTAAGGATGCTAATTATTTATGCAAGTACATAAACAGAATCATGGGAATACATGTTTGAAATTAATCTTTTTGATAGTTAAATGACTTGAGATTTTTATGTTTCCCATTTGTCTTCCATTTGTTTCTTGAGGATATACATTGCTTGGTGTAAGGGTAAAATCTTGGGTTGAAAAGTGTGAGAATGTGGGTTGGAGTTTGGGGGGGTGGGAGCAGCAACTTTGTGCACAATAAATAAATAAATAATTGCCAAAGGCTAGGGCCTCATCCAGTCCAACCCTCCCATGACTTCAGATAGATGGGCATACACTGCATAATGGCTCTTTTTTAGATGTTTACATTGCAAATCAATAAATCCATCAATAATAATGGGGAACAGAATGAGATGATGCTAGGTATTTGTGGAGAAATAAGGCTGTGTTTGGTTTGAAATAGGTTTCCCTACCTTTCCCTTTTTTTTTTTTCTTTCAAACCAAAAGCAGCCTAAGGGTATGATTGGATTTCTTGGTACATAAAGATTCTTAAAACATTACGAGTAGGTTGTAGTGAGAATGGGCTGAATGGGCCGTAGTGTTTTTTATTTCTTTTAAGTAGTGTTTAAGGTTATGTTTGTTGATTATGGGCTTTTTTTTTTGATTTCTTTAATTATTTCTTTAGTGCTAGCTGCCTCATTAAGGGCATCCAAGTAATTGTACTTAAATTTAGAATTAAGTTAATAAAAGAGATCAAGGGGGCTAGAGAGAGAGGTTCAAACTCTTCTTTTTTCTCTTCCCTTCTCTTCTTCTTCCACAACCTACTACCTAAATCTCTTTCTTCTCCTTTCTCTTCCTTTCTTTCTTCTTTTTCCTATATTTTCTGAATTATTGTAGGTGTATTTCTCAACTTGGTATCAGAGCTAGGTTCCCACTTTCGACTTTTTTCTCTTTTTTTGCCCATACACAATGTGTATGAACTGATCGGTTGATCAATCAGCAACTTATGCAGCCCAGTTAGGAAGGTTTTTGTGGGGGTTTTCATCCTTAGTTGAAGCCTAAGGCAGGTTCTTGGAAAAAATTTCCCCAAAACCCTAGATAACTGGAGAAATCTTGTTATAGGTCGTAGAGACAGTTTGAACCAGGCACTTGGGGATCAGAGGTAAGCCTTTTGATTTCTATTGAGGGTGGTTTTGGTTGGACTGAGTTCTAGAACCTCTGGTAAGAGTGGTTGAAGTTTTCTTTTTTTCCCCATCCTACCGGGTCTTGTGAAACCCTATTTTTGGGAGGTTAAAGGGTTGTTCTTTGCTTAAAACAATAAATTTAGCCTAATAAAACCCTAATTTGATTTCGTTTGCATCTATTCACTCGATGGAACAAACTGGAAGAGAGACCAAATATTCCACAAATTTTGGGTTTGAACATGGGGGGTCAGTGGAGAATCTTTTTGGGGTTGTGACTATTATGAAGTTAGATGGGACCAATTATTTAGCCTGGTCTCACTCTATTAAGATACATGTGTGTAGTAGAGGAAAATAGGGTTACATTACCGAGAGCAAGAAGAAACCGGAGGAGGATAATCCCACCTATGAAAGGTGGATGCAGGAAAACGACATGGTAGTGGGTTGGTTAGTGAATTCTATGGAACCACACATTATTTAGCATTACCTGTGGATGGAAACTACAGAAGTGTTGGATAGTGTTACGGAGACCTATTCCCAAAAGCTTAATGTTGCTCGGGCCTACAAATTGAAGCATGATGTGAATAACCTAAGACAGGGGGAGAAGCCCTTAGGCATCTATTTCTCTATGCTGAAATCTCTTTGGCAAGAGATTGATCTGATCGAGACTGTTTTCGGTTGCATAAAGGATGCAAAAACATATAGGAAGTTGGTGGAGAGAAATCGTGTCTTTGAGTTCCTCACTGGACTCAACTCAGAGTATGATATTGTGAGGAAGAATGTTTTAGCAAAGGATGAGATGACTTTGTCTTAGGCGTATGCTATGGTGATTAATGAGGAGAGTAGAGGTTCAGTCTGCCAAGCCATAGGTTGACCACTATGCCAATGTCGGAATGAAGCCAAAGGATAAACATTGTGAAGAAAGATATTATCTATGAATATTGCAAGAAGCCTAAACACACTAAAGACACCTGTTGGAAGTTGCATCCAGAGCTCATTCTTTCCTGACTCAAGAAAGAAAATGGTGGAAATGCAAATGTAGCCACCTCCTTACAAGGTGAACACGGACAGGGTGGAGAGAAATTAGTAGGAGAACAACTTGTAGCTGCCAAGGCTGAGTATGAGAAGTATGGCCGAATAATATGTTATTTGGAGTCCACTGCTATAGCTCCTATAGAGACTATTCCTTCCTATGCATATGCTCACTCAGGCATTTGTGCCATTGCACATCATGCTTCTGTCTCAAGTGCTCATAAACCCCCCCCCCCTCCCCATTGATTCTGGTGCTTCTGACCATATATGACTAGTGTTTCACAGCTATTCACCTTTTACCAACTCCTATTTGGTCGAGATAAGATATCCCTTGTTGATGGCTCTCTTGCCCCTATCACGGGAAAGGGAGACATTAAGACCTCTAATGCCCTGACCTTATCATTTGTTCTTCATGTACCTTAACTTAATACCAATTTGCTTTCAGTTAGTAATTGACTAAATTCCTGAATTGTAGTGTGACATTTTTTTCCTTCAAATTGTGTTTTTTAGGACATAAATCTTAGAAGGTGATTGGGAGTGGCCATGAGGCGGATCTATCTGTTAGACATGCTTGAACAGAGCCAAGTACAACCTAAGAGAATTGCATTTGTTTCAGAGTCCACTAGTTGTATTATATTATATCATAGTCGTTTGGGTCATTTGTCTTTTTCTTCATTGAGTCTGTTGTTTCCGGAGCATAGTTTTTAAGGTGCCAAGGCGAGGCTAAGTGACAGGGGGCGCCTTGTCGCCTAGTTGCCTAGGTGATGGATTTTTTTTTAAGTGAAACCATATATCCTAGGGTAATTCCCTAGGTTCCATAACCATCTTTCCTTAATAATTATCCATAGTTTTCATGAGAGAAGTATAAATTTCATGTTTTAAGTTTAGAAAATCACCATTTTAAGAGAAGAAAAGGAACAAAGGAAAGAAAATTGAAAAAATATAGGGGCTGAATCCCCTACTTTTCTTATAGGAAAAGAAGAAAAGAAAAGGTGGAAGAAGAAGAAGGTCTGTAAGAAGAAAATGTGTTGATTAGACAAAATTTTAAGTTCTTCCCTTGCTTATTGGTTCAGGTTCTGAAATCTTTGAGGGTTCAATCAAGGATCAAAACTTCGATATGATACGCCCTGTATCGGGTGTATTGTATTGTATCTTTGGCGCCCCAATACACATGTTTACAAGTGTTTTCGTGAACCCATTTTTTAAAATAATATATATGTTTAAAAATGAAATTGAAAACCAAAGAAATAAAAAAATAGGGGGAGTCGTTATAAGTTCTGATACACCTCTATCGATACACAGAGGTGTATCGATACTTTGAACCATGGTTCAAAATAACAGTTAGCAATGTTTGTGTTGACTAAACCCTAACAAATAAGAAACTAATAAAAAGAAATTAGTACATAAACACACAAAATGAGTATTCTAGTTTAATAATGCCTATTTTATAATTATAATGTCAAAAAATTAAAAATATAAAAGTATTTTATAACATAGTGCACAAATGCATTGGATCCCATTAGAACTCCGAAGACATTCATAAAAAAAAAACTACTTGGCAACTGGGCGAGATGAGCCTCCAAGGGTGCCTTGTCGCCTAGGTGTCGCCTTGACAACTATGTTCTAGAGTTATTTAAAGGAACCAGTCTATCAAGTCTACATTGTGAGTCCTGTGAGCTTTCAAAGCATTGTAATAACACTTATCCTTCAAGAAATATTCTCTTTAATATTGTTCACTCTGATGTGTGGGGGGCCTTACCATTTACTGTGTATGGGTGGCTATAGATATTTCATCATGTTTATTGATGATTTTTTGCAATATACTTGGATTTACCTTAGGCTCTCTTGTGCTGAAGTGCATAAACTTGTGCAACAGTTCCATGAATACATACTCAGTTTAACACTGCATCAAAATATTCTGACCAAATAATGCTAAGGAATATTTTGAGGACCTTACCTCCTATCTTGAGAAGTTTGGGGTTGTTCATCAGAGTTCTTGCACCCGTACTCCACAACAAAATGGAGTAGCGAAGAGGAAAAATAGACATATTGTGGAAGTTGCAAGGAGCATCCTTTTTGTTACCCATGTTCCTGTGAAGTTTTGGGGTGATGCAGTTTTAATAGCTACCTACCTTATTAATTGCATGCCTTCTTGAGTCTTGGGGTTAAAATCTCCTTTTGGAGTCATCTTTCCTAGTGTTTAGATTTTCTCCATTCCTCTACGGGTCTTTGGTTGTACTTGTTATGTTCACATTCCTAGTTCTAAGAGACATAAGTTTGACCCATTAGTGGCACCCGATTATGTTCACATTCCTGGGTTATGCCTCCACACAAAAAGGGTATTGTTGTTTTAATCCCATTAGTGGCACTTGGTTTGTTTCCATGGATGTCACGTTTGCAGAGTCGGTTCCTTTTTATAATCCTCCTTCTGAAGGGGAGAGATTTCTTGAGTTGTTTTCTTTATCCCTTCCTTTGCCAACTCCAGATGAGTCTTGTGTTGAGCCTTCCACAATTACCCCTATTCCCATGGAGGGATCTTCTCCTTTGAGGTCTTCCGTTCCTGCTCCTCCCCCTTCTCTTGCTAGTCCTCCAGTTTTTACCACTCATCGTATTCTCTAGAGGTGGTACTAGTGGCAAAGGCTAAGGAAAACATAGGCTGATCCCACATTTGCAGTTGAGTCTCAAGCGCTTCCAATTACTGAAGAGAGGACATGCCCATAACCTCCTTCACCAGCACCTTCATATTCAGACCTTGACCTACCCATTGCTTTGAGAAAAGGTAGGAGGAAATGCACAATTCATTGTATTTCCAAACACCTTTCCTATAGCTTGTTCCCATCCTACTATGCCTTTCTAGCCTCCATTTCCTCTCAATGATTGAATGGTTGGTTTACTATTTTAATATGATTCACTTACAAATAGGCTTGTCAATGATACTTGAAACTCCGTGGCCTGATTTAACATCCAATCCGATTATCCCAAATTTGGATGATGTGTTTACGTAATCGGATTGGATTCAGATTTTGCAATCTGGATCCAATTAAAAATTGGATTAGCTTTGGATTTGACTCTATCCGGTCCGGTTTAAATCCAAATCCTATTACATTATAATATTTATTGATTTTAATATATAAAATTTATATAGGTATATTTAAAATTATAAAAAAATAATTTTTTATATATTATATTATATATGAATTATATATAATAAATTCAGTATGTTATATTTACATTAATTATATATATATATATATATTAATTTCTTCAACAGAAACACTAATTTCGCTTCCAATTCTTTGAATGTCTTTCTGGAGAATTCATCTCTTCCTAAGAAAAATAATTGCAAAAACTTGCTTACTTTGACCTTTATGTTCACTGCCTTTTCCAAATCAACTGACCTTTCAATAGGATGAGTTTCATCCAAGCAAATGTCATCGTCACTTAGCTCATTTGAATTACCTTCAACCTTGTGTGCTTTACCATTGATTCTTGTTATATTACGTTCTTGCAGTGGCCTTGTCCGATACTTCCTTTTTCTTTTGAAAACTTTGGAGCAAGCCATGCCCGAAAGCTCTGCTTCACCCCTTTCCTTGTTTCCTCCCTCTATTCGTTCTTCTGGTTCTTTACTGTATTTGTTCCTCTCAACCCTTTCTTCTGAAATTTTCTCATGCCCTCTTTCTCCACCACGATCATGGTTCAACCTCACCTTCTACATCTACTCTGCTTTTAGTGATTGTTAGCCTCCTTTCATTTTTTCAAGTGAAATAATATCAACTTCCCTTAATTATCTACCCCTTTCTTTTTCTAATTCTATTGATGATATCCTTTCCAATACTTTGCTATCATCATTTGCCATACCTAATTTTGTGCAAGAAGCTCTTGCATCACCTAATTAGAAACAGGCCATGGAAGAGGAAAATTCATGCTTTTAATATTAATCATACATGAGATCTTACTTTTTGTCCTCTTTGGAAGCATGTTGTTGATTGTAGGTGGGTATATACTATATACAATTAAACCTTTACCTTAAGGGAGTGCAGAATGATTAAGGCACACTTGGTTGCTAAAGGTTATAAAAATGTGGACTATTCTGATCTTTTCTCCAGTTGCCGAATTTGGATTTTTTTCATGTTACTATCTCTTTAGCTTCTAGTTTGTGTTGGTCTTCTTTATCACCTTGACATAAAAATGCTTTCCTTTTATGGTGATTTGCAAGATGTATATATGGGGCAATTTCTTGGTTGTTGCTCAGGGGGAGTCTACACAGGTTTGTGGATTGAGGAAAAAATGTATGGGCAGAAACAGTTCCCCTAGGTATGGTTTGGTTGTTTTAATAGTGTTGTTCAGGAGTTCAGTTTGTAGTACAATGTAGAACATCTAATTTAGTCGTGACTGTAGAGGAAAAGATCATGTTGTCATAATAGATGATACTGGTGGTATTGAGGAGCTCAATGACTTCATACAACAATGCTTTGACACTAAGGATCATGGACAACTCAAGACATAGCATTAATGTTTCTTAAAGGAAGTATGTACTTGATCTACCAGAAATAGGACTAATAGAAGCAAAGCCTGTGGAGACTCCTATGGATCCCAATGCAAAGTTAAAGTGATCGGGGGGGAGCTATTTGAAAACCTTGGGAGGTATAGAAGATTAGTTGGGAAGCTAATCTTAGCTTCCCGTACTCCCTTAGCAAGGCAGCCATAAGGGTATTGTGATATGCTGTTGGTAGGAATCTAAAGTTGGAAGGGTACATAGATATAAACTGGGCCGGTTCATCAAATAGGAGGCCTACAACGTGCTACTTTATGTTCTTAGAGGCAACTTGGTAACCTGGGGAAGAAGAAAAGTGTTGGATCAAAATATAGATTATGGCTTATACAACATGTGACTTGATACGGCTGAAGTACTTAGTAGGTGAGATTGGCACTCCTATCACAGAGCCTGTGGAGTTATTCTGTTATAACCAAGCAATTCGTTTGCATTGTTTCTTACTCTTTCATGAAAGAACCAAGTATATTGATATGGATTGTTACACTCGAGAAATTTCTACACCATATATTAAGATTGAAAATCAGCTTGCTGGACTTATTTACTAAGAGTTTGAGTAGTGCAGAATGGGATACAACTATAACCAGTTGAAGCTTTATGACATTTGTACCCCAACTTGAGAGGGAGTGTTAGAATAAATTGATGTCATAGGCATGTGCACAGGGGTATGCTTGTCTTTGTGCTGGTTTAAAGAGGGCAGATCTGTAATTTAAACATAAACGAAATTATATATACCACATGCTTGACTCGGTAGAGTCTCCACAGAACAGGTGATGAAGTTCTCTTCTCCCCTACCTTTGGTCTCTACTCTTGTATTTCTCTGTAAGTCTGAATTATATCCACACTAATGGTGTACCTTCTAAAGAAAACAACTGGTTTTAAAACATAAAAGTAGAAACTATTAAATTCTGAATAATGATAAAAAAAAAACTTCCAAATCTGAGTGCACTATCAACTTTCAAACCTTGGTGCAGTCAAGCTTCAAAATACCAATATATAGAACATTGCATCATGTGTCTCGTATCGGTACCGAAGGTCATGAAACAGTAAATAATGAGAGTTAGGGGCTTTAACAGTTTCAGATGTTAATAGACAACCTAATGTATCGAAACAGTGTTTTCAACCCGGCTGCTTGAACCGTTCGAACCATCACCTGGCCAGGATTCCGGGTCCGGTTCAGTCAAGACCCGTCAGATGGTCAAAACCATTGACTTGGTCAAGAACCGTTCGACCCGGTCACCGGGTCGCGGGTTGTACACTCAATACATGCAAACATTCGGAGGCCATAACTTTGCACTCCGATGTCTGATTGGGGTGATTTTTTTATTTTTTTTATTATTATTTTATTTTGGGTAACTTTTCGAGACCTATGCGTCCCAATAGGTGCCTTGCCCCGCTATTTTCACGAAAAAAAACCCTTGTTTGGCCTTTAATTGCAAATTTTAATATTTTTTATAAATAAAAAAATCAAAAGCTGAATTAAAAAACATAAATTAAATATAAAAATACATATTACATATCTACAACATATTTATACATTATTTATTGATAAAATATATATTTAAACACACACACACACACACACACATATATACGTCTTAAATACATGTCGGGCGGTCTGACCCGTTTGATCTGGATGGTCGAACCGGTAACCCACGACCCGGAGCCAATAACGGTTTGGCCTCCAGGTTGGTTTTTAAAACATTGTATCAAACTATGAAATATCAAACAGAAAAAAATAGGAGTGCTGATATTTTAAACCTTGGGTGCAGTCTATGGAACCCCCTTTGATATATTTTAGTAACTCTGATATGCTCAGATCTCTCCAGAAATTGATATGTTAGATCCTATCCTCCATTGCTCTAGAAGGCTGAACTACATTTATTATGAAACTGTCAATAATCAAAATTAAGCATTTCTTGGAGAAAATAAAGTTGTGCAAAGTAATTTTATTGGTAATGTGTTTTTTTTTCGGTATTGAGATTTTATTTGTTTCATTCAACTTGTTATTGTCTCCTCAAATCCTTATGCAATTATTCTGGTTGTTATTCATCAAATATTAGGTATGGTTGCATATTGCAATGCAGACGGAACGGTTCTCCATTTTCAGGTCTCTTTAATTCTTTCTTTCTGTTTCTTATAATGTGGAAATGATTTTTATCTTTTGTAATTTTCTGTTAAATATCTGCTTATTATTCTTTTGCTTTCTTATCTCCACAATTACTCAGAATCTAAGATACTCATGAAGTCCATGGACTTGACTATATCTTTGCATTCTCTAATCTGACACTAGTTTAAGACTACTTTTAGATTGAAAAGATTCTATCAAGCTGCTTATAATGCTACTCCAACGTCTTTATGTTATCATGACAGCTTACAGCCAAAGCAGTGGACAAAGACCCTTCTCGTAATAAGACCCCACATTTTCTTTGTGGCTCACTGACTGAGGATGACTCCACCCTTTCAGTGAATACTCCTTTGCCTTGCACTCCCTTCCCTATGAAAAAGTCCCTGAATGAATGGGGAGACACCCCAAGATCCATCCGTGGGATCTTGTCAGGCTCCAATCAGGCGAAGAAAGCAAATGATGAAGTTCTAGGTAAGTTTAACAATTCCTTCCTATAAATTTATTTATGATGTTTTCTTATCAACCCCTTTTTGTGTAATTTGTAACACCTTATCTTGCTACAGCTTTGTGCTATGGTGATGATCCGGAACCTGGTTTTGGATATGACAACTCACCAGCTAATCCAAATCGAAGAACACAAAAACCAAACACATGTAAGAAGAAAAAGCTTGGTTCAGACTTAGCATGCTCAGCCGAGGAAGAGTTGGGGAATTTACAGAGGGGTGGGAATGAGAAGAGTGCAGCAATGAGTGAGATCGAAATATTTCCTCCGAAGATTATAGCAATGCATAGAGTGAGATGGAATATGAACAAGGGAAGTGGAAGATTGTTATGTTATGGAGGAGCTGCTGGAATTGTACGATGCCAAGATATTGCTGCATCTTGTATTGCAGAGAGATCAAACAATAAATTCAAGAGACCATGATCCTTGTAATATGTTTCTTGTTTTTGTTGTATATCTGTATATAACTTATTTATGTCAAACCATGAGATGTTTGATACATGTTATAGTTATAACATTTGTATTTAAGAAATGGGTTGTGATAACATCGCCACTAACGAAGATGAGATTGTTGTCAAGGCTGGAACCGTTGGACTGGAAATTTACTGCGATTTAATAAAGCTGCCATATCATAATAACCAAGAAATGGGTTGTGATAACATCGCACCTTTGTTTTTTCTTCTTTTAGATGGATGAACCATTATCATATATTGGTCCCAGCTATAAGGTGTATTGGGAGGGGTTTGGACGACACATTTCAAGTATCTCGAGCGTAACTCAGAACTGACTATATCTAACAGTCCATCTCCCGACTCCCGTACTTCAGCTCCAAGTACTCCATTGCAACATGCAAGGTGCCAAACTGGTTGCTTGGTAACTAACTGGTAAAGTCCTTGGCTGGCTGTAGTGGAGAATTGGGATCAAAGGGGTGATCGTGGGCCGGGTGGGCCGGGCTGGGCTTAGCACTATTGATAAGGGCATCTGAGGTCCAGGCTTGGTCCAGCCAACACCTCGGGCCTAGATTGCAAGCTTGGGCCCAGTGCTGGGTTACGGGCTTTGTAGGCCTAATAGCTTTGAGCCCATGGTATCTTGAGATTAATATTTAATTATTTATATATTTATATATTTATAAATAAATTAAATAACATATAATAATATACAATGAAAATATTTCACTAGTCCAATCTAGGTTGGGCTTGACTAGGCTTTGGGCCTATGGCATAAAATATAAGTCATGGACATTATTTAAATCCTAGGATTGGTTTGGCTTGGCTTACCTACCGATCCTACCCTTTTATAGATGAAGACAAAACATTCATTCTTCTTCTTTAGCAATGTGTAAAGCAAGGTTCAAAGTATCAACACATATCGGCCGATATATATCGTTCTGGGACCTCTCCGATACGCCCCTATAGTGGGTGTATCGGGGATCCGACCAGTTCAGGTGGAGTCCTAAACCGGCCCCCCTGAACTGGTTTTGAAAAAAAAAAAGTATCAATTTGCCCTATACACCCGGGCGTATCGATATTTCGAACCTTGGTTTAAAGTATCACATAATATGCTCTACGTCGGCAAGCCATTGATACTCTAAATGTATAGTGTTTGGGATTTTGGGCATTTTTGGGGGGTAGGTAAGCCTAAAACCGTCCCTTGGCCAATTTTAGGTAAAAAAAAACTAAAAAAATAAGGGTAAAATACAAAAACCTCCCTGAATGTTCTGATTATCATAAAAAAACTTCCCTTCCGTCATTGATCCATACTAGAAATGTAATAAACTTATGAAATTACCCTTGACTAATCTGCACGGTGTCATTTAAAAATATTTGTAAAGTCCCAAATTGCCCTCATTTGAGCGACAAAACTTCCACAACTGGTTACTGTTCTTTTTCAGAGCAAAAGAAAATAACACCACTAAACACTTGCAGCGGCGCCATTGCTCCGAATGCCAAGAATTGCTAAAATTTAAAACAGACACGCAAATGATTAAGAAAAAACATATCGCTAGGTGTTTCAATATAACGCAAACAGGATCGTGTCAATGAATCGCTGTGGCTATGGTTATGGCAGATGTGAAAGAGTTCGATCATCTCTTTCTCTCTCCCCCGCTCTCTCTATCTCCCTCCGTCGATCGGCTACTGGTAGAATTTTGTTCTGTTAAATGGAAGTAGTCAGTGTCTCTGAAGTTCTTTCATTTGAATACAAGGATAAAAAGCCTATCATAGGATTTGTATTGGGAGGTTTTGAAAAGCCAAAGAGGAAGAGTCCGACCAACGCTGCATTTTGGATGATAAGTTGAAAAAATGCCCTTTACCATTTGTTTCGTCTTCCTGAAAGCAATAACGGTGCTCTTTTAAACACACGTATTGAGTGTCGATTGGGCCAAAATTCTTTCTCAATTCAGGGCTTGCCCATTACAGTTTACATGCCATTTTCAAATTAACTTCCTGAATAGAAGCTCTTGCTCCTCTCTTTGTCTATTTAATTGCACCACTAATCTGTAATCTGTAGTTTCCCTTTCACTTGGGGCTGGGTGAAACCTAAGATGCATGGACTCCCATGTAATTCTTTCTGAGTTTACGAGCGAGCAAACAAACGAGAGACAACAGATAGACAAGTAGACAAATAACCAATGGCCATGTATGTGAAAGGCCCCATCTTTATTGGCTTGGTGTTGCTTCTGTTTATGGGGATCGCCATCTACTTCAAGCTTTGACTTATTGATTACAATTTCTCTTTTGAAGACAAAGATTGGATGAGATTCGATTTCATCAGTTTAGTACTGGCATATATCGCATCTTTTCTTTAATTTCCTACTTTTTTCCTTGTTTAATGGAGACTATGGTTGTTGATATTTAATGGACAGGCTCTTGTTCTTTTTTCTTCTTTCTAGGTTTAGAAGTGTATCATCGGCAAAAGAGCGCCATTCCCTTTTTCTTGAATTCTTTTCGTACATAGGATGCCCTGATGATTAATTAGGGATAGTTTTGTAATTTTATACGTTTTCTGTTTAATCAATGATAGAAGGGAGTTTTTTGTTGAATTTTTTAAAAATTTCAGGGAGGTTTTTATTGAAATAAAATTAAAGGGAAGGTTTTTATGATTGTCAGAAATTTCAGGGGAGGTTTTTATATTTTACCCAAAAAAAATAATGTTTTGCAGGATCAATACCTATGTTCGTATGATACTTTAAACCATGCTTGAAACAACACTCAATATTGAGTATTATCCCAAGTTCCCCATTTCTTAAGAATGAGAATGAAGGCTTTGCCTTCATCTAATATTTTCCCTAACTCATACATGTCTTGACTCATTTGTTGACACGTGTTAATTTATTAATATGTTAAAAGTTTTATATTTTATATAAATAATAAACATTTAATATAAAATAAAATATATTTGCATGTATAAAATATTAAATATAACTTAATAATATAATATTTTGATATAAAAATATTGACTATATTATATATAACATATTTAATAATATTGGTATATTCTATTCTGGGCCAAGCCTGAAGTTAAGGCCGAAGCTGAGATCGGAATTTTTTGGTCTTAGTGTGGCCTCAGGCTGGCCAGACCAAGTTTCCAGGCCTGGCCAAGAATGATCACCCCTCTTCCACCGGCCACCGGCACTGGGTTGGGACGGGATTATAGGTTTGGGGATGAGTACACTATTGTGTAGCCCATGGAGCAAAAAATCCAACTAATCCATTTATCATTAATTTTTTCATAGTTAATTCAATCAATTCCATTTAATTTCTATACAAAATTCTATGCTGTTGGTAAGTTTAGAACATGTAAAATCTATTTTGGAAAAAAGAATAAAAGAGATTTCTCACCACAATCATTTGAGGATAACATGCTAATTAAAATTACAACAGTAGCTTGTTTATTCTTTCCATGTTTTTTTTTTATTTTTTTCTATTAGGATATATAAATTTAGGGAAAATCTATGATATAGGAAAGACATCGTATCCAAAGATCTAGTTTTGACCAAGATAAACCCACCAATGAATTTTGATAAATAACACCTGATTGGGTACTATGTTTATGATTCCAATTGATTGGCCAAACGTTTCTCGGATATCATATCTTTTTCATATCATAGTCGAACCCATATATTCATCTTCAATTGTCATGGTTCAAACCTTGGCTATCCGTTTTAAAGATTATAACTTTACTACTACACCACATCACTAGTTAAATTTATGTAAATTTTAATTTTCATAACTTAGGAAATGTTTGATTGTTAATATTGGTTATTTTCAAGGCATCAATGGAATTTATATTGGTCTCTAAGTTTTGCATTCATATTTTGGCTATGCATGATTGAACGAGACAGTTGACGCAGTTGTTTCAACCCTCAGTGGGGTCAAGTGACAATTATCCCCCGAACTTTCACTTTGCAGAAAATGCCCCCCTTTATTAGAGTTTCGTTAGTTAACTTCAAAAATATTTTTTATTCAGCTGTTTAAAAATTTTCAACCCCCCAAATTACACTTTTCTTGTTTATTTGAACGATTTATGATTTAATTAGTTTTATAAATATAATATTGAAGTTCTCAAAATTGCTCTAATAGATCCTTGTAGATTTTTGGCTGGATCCAATATTTAAATGAAAATGGTAGATGTTTCTTTTTTATAGATATAACTTTAAGGTTTTGTTTAGTTTTTCTTACTTTATTGGAGGAAGGAGTGGATAACTTTTATATTTTAAGATGAAGAGAAACATTCATGTTGGTGAAATGAAACAAGAATTTAAAGAAACCTGTTTTCTATGTCAGTGAAATGACTCTTGTTCTCTTTTAGAGAAAATAGAGGTATTTTTGGGTCTATTAGGGTTTAAAAGAAATGGGCAAGGAAAAGAAAATAAAGAAAATTTAGGTAGATATTTAATAATTTAATGCATTCAATGATCTAACTTAATGGCCAGGGGGTCTTTGCTCAAATAAAAGTTCAAGTAGTAATTGTCACTGATCACATAGTACACGGACGTCTTTATAATTTACCCAATCTTTTTACTAGTCCAGTTTTGTATCTGGCATAATGACAAGTGTCTCAAAGTGTAGTTCTATTGTTCTTTTTCCTTAATTGTTTGAGGGTATTTATTTTAGTTGTTTTGTTTTATGTTGTGTTTTGGTTAATCAATATAAATGTATGATAAATATTTGTTGTATTTATCATACATGAGTATGAGTATCACATCATGTTGCCATTTATTGATCAACCTACTTAGGAGTGTCAATTGGACTAGATTTGGTCCAATCCAATCTAATGTGAGTCCATTAAAAATGGACTAGGTCCAATTCAATCCAATGAATAATTTAGACCTTTTTGGACTGGTCCAATTCAATGTCTGGATCATCTATTCTATTCAAATTTATTTTAATTTAGATTAATTCTAATCCAAACCTGGTCCATTGACACCTATATTTTTATCTTATATCAATGGACCAGATATTGGCTCAATCCAACCCAATCCAATATAAATTCATTATGGATGGATCAATTCCAATCCAATAGATACTTTGGACCATTGAGTTTGGATTGGTCCAATTCAATA